TCCAACAGACAGTCTGAGTGTTCCATGATCACAGAGCCAGACCAAGTAGGAGGCTGAGTTGCATGGCCTGGCACCCACTTTTGGGGTGCTACTTTTACCATCTTATCCCTGTATCCCCTGGTGGTGTTCACTCTTTGCTAGGTCACCTGGGTCACTCTCATAGTGGGTCACACTGGTGCAATCTTTGACTTCCCCATGATGAATGTTACAAAGCAACAAGGTTTTGATCTCAAAAAATACATGCAGCCAACATGTGCCAGCACAGTCTGAACACAGACCATGGTGATGGTGTCTTAGGATCCAGCACATGAATTTGTCACTGGCATCCTGCACCTGGCCTTCATATCAATCAAATCAATGTGAACTTGGTGACTGCCTTTGCCTACACCATTAGCCTAGTGCCTATAGTTTCCACAGTACTGCAATGCACATTGATTGATTACCAAACCTCTTGGATCTGGGAAGTGGGCATGGCACTGCCTCTGCACATGGCTCAGAGATGGAAACCTCCTGATTGACTCACAACCTTAGCCATGTTGGGCAACTGCCTGATCACACCACATGCAAGAATGGACTAGGCACTGGAATGCAACCTTCATTGAGATGGGAGAATGCCAGCAAAGGCTATTCTCTTCAAAGGACTTTGTACCTAGCTGTCCAAAGGAAATTTGTTCACCACACCTCCAACCTCAGTGACTTCCAGTGAATATGAGATCAACTCTTTGTCCAATGACACAGATCCCACCCCACAACAAAAGGGGACCAGTCTTCAGCCAGCCAAAGTCAATATACTCGAGGCTGAGTTAGATTCATGGAAAAATGCCAACCAAGACAAGAGGAGTTCCATGTTGTTAACCATCAGAAACAGGACAAAAAACCTTGATGCTAATGTAACACTGAAAACCCATGAATGGGTTTGGAAGAAGGTGTGCCACAGCATCCTTTGATTACCCAACATGTCCTCACCATTGCCAGGTGATTCAGACTTGGTTGTACAACCACAGTTGGAGCTGTAGTCAATGGGCTTTGGTCAAATATGGTGGCAGTTGAACACTGAGGAAGGTGGTCATGCACCATCACAAGAAAGCCATCAAAAGAGTGTTGGAGGAAGCAGGGATCAAGCAGGGATCAGCAGAAATGATCAAGTCATATCAGAAGGCCATTGACACCATCATGAAGTCCCTGACTGCTGAGGAGATACAGGAGCTGAGGATCTGGCCACAGAATGGACTGAGCAGCAGCCACCATGGGATGTTCAATCAGAGTAGGTGCCATTGCCATTTCTGACTGCTGCCTTTTTACTTACTGGGACTCAGAACTGCAGAAAAGAAAGGCCAACAATATGCTGAGGAGTTTGCTAAGGAAATGTGGAAGCAGTGTGAGGCAAGGGTGGTAGTGATGGTGGCATGGGAAGATGTCAATAGAGGTCATAGTTGGAGCATAAGGAATTTGTTCCTGGGTCATCTGAATACTGCCAGATACTGACCAACCTGTCTAGCCATGATTTCAATGATGAATTGGGTCATGGCAAGTTATTTCAGGCTTGGAGGACTGCAGGGACAAATTTGTCAAGTATGCATGGACAGCATTTGGGAGTGGTGGCACAGATGAGACTCAGCAGACAATGATGCTGCTCCACAGCTGCAGCAGTGAAAGAAACTGGCAAAGGACAAAGTTAACCTGCCACTCAGCAAGGATGGTACACCATACATTCCCAACATATTGGACATGTGGGTGCCAAGGTTGAAAGATATCATGCAGACATTTGTCCACATTGCACTACCATAGGTGTAACCACAGGAGGACTTCTGTTCATTGACATCATAGCAGGGAAGGCATGCAGCAATTCAGAGGCAACTGTGCCATGGAGTTGCAATAAACAACCAACATGAACATTTACATTGCACCCAAGTTCCCTCCCCAGACATTCCATTCAAAGAACCAACTTGACTAACACAGGATGAGTTGACAGCAATCTTGGAGTGGTGGCAGGAGCAGAAGATGCAGCATCCCAACAATATATTTGCATTCATGCCAGTTGGAGATGCAATGTTGGTTGGGTGCCATTGGATGTGGAACAGGGTGCCAAAGACATCCCAGACCCAGCAGGGGGACAGAAAACAGCTGGCCAATTGACTGGGTTTGGGATGTGATCATGGCTAACAAACTGGTAAGCAAGCAGTTGTACTAACTACATTATCAACACAATAATGTAATGGGTGTTACAGTGGTCAGCTCAAATACCAAAGGTGCCCCTCTGGCCAGTAGCTCCCAACCATCCCTGGTGCCCAATAGCAATAAGAGTACAAGGGCTTTGGCACTAGATGCTGATATGTCAGTTGAATTGCCAGCAAGACAACACCCAATTGCCATATTGGCAGCAGATGGAAATAACAGCTGCTGGGAGAGTGGTAAGCTGCCAGCCCTCACTTGATAGTCATGTTATACACACTTAACCCATGTCTGCTGAAGGCCCCAGCTATGATTTCACCACCACACAGCAAATTCCATATGGTGTGCAGTCAATGGTGAAATTCTATGGGTGCTGGGGGGTCACAACAAGGTGGGTTTTCAATATCTGCAACTGTGTTGAATGACAGGGGACATGTTTCAGACATTGCAGTGGAGAGCCCAAGTGCCAAGCCCCAAATGGCAGGCAGTGAAACAGTTGCCACAGCTCCTGTGGTGGAAGTGCTGACCATGATTCAGCTGACACCCTCCATGCAGCACAAAATGAGCAGGTGCCAAAGAATAGTTGGAGGGTCCCTACACAGCTGAAGGCAAGATGGGAGTTGCTGATGAGGTCAACAGGCAATTAGCTCTTACAGCATCCCCAGCTATTGCCTAGTCCCTTGAAGAAATGCTGTTGACAATAGTAGCATACTTTACAATTTATGCAACAATTCACAGTAGGAATTACAATAAGTCCTCATCAATCTCCACTTCATCCTCACCATCCCAATCCTTTGTCATCAAATCTTCTATATATTGCTGTGTCTGCATGACCTGCTCTCCCCTTGCAAGCAAAAGCCAAAACCTTATGCTTGATTTGACCAAGATATTGCTGTAGTGATTGTATGTGGCAACAATAGGCCCATCAGTAGCAGTATTCAGCAGTGCTGGGTGTTCTGAGGCTGGTCCTGAGAGCAGAATTGCTAGCCACCTTGCCTTGGTCACTATTCAATTATTAACATATGTGAGAATGATATTGCAAAAACACATGTTGTTATCAGTCCTTCCTCATGAATACCTTGTATCCCCAAATCATCTGTGAACTGCTGAAGTGCTGCAAAGTGACCTAACAAAATTGAAAATGTGGTCACAATGAAAGGTGGAACACTCATGAGCAGCAGCATCTGTCTCCACTGACAGCCAAGCTCTGTGCCCCAATCCAGAGGCCATGGGGTTACTGTTGGCAGTCAGTTCTGCATCAGGTTCCTCATCCATGTTAGGATGATCCTTAGTGGGGGGTTGAGTAGTTGTGTGTGGAGGGGATGCCACAAATGATACTGGCATTGGTGAGTGAGCTGTGTGTGCTGGCAAAGATGTTGGGGAATCCCAGCTGGGGGTGATGGCAGTTAAGGAGGGGATGGAATGAGCTGCTACAGGATCATCCCCTCTATGATTGGTACTGGGCTGTTGGGAAGAAGGTGATAATGGTGGGGAGTCCCACAAAGGTGCAACCACTCTTAGTGGCAGGCATTGGCATGGGCTGGCAAAAGCCTGTGATGAGGATGATGACAAGGCTAGCTGTTCAGGCCATGTGCCGGTGGCAGCTGCTGCTCCAAATGGCAGGTATTCAGGTTCATCTACTGCCATATGAACATCATCTACATTTGGCAGCCCCTGATGCTTCTTGCATGGCAAAATAATTAGGAACAGTTAGCCTTACATCCAACCAATTAATGACCACTTACTGCAGGTGTCCAGACTTCCTGGTCTCCACCTGACTGATTTTTGATCCATGATTGGGGTCACTGCTAATTCTGATGAGTGGATGAACTGTGTGGGATATTTGAGTGAATGCAATGTAGCAAAGCCTGCATGGATTATTTGGTCTTGTTTGGGTGCCAGCAATACTTGCAATGCTGGCACAATGGTTTAGCAACATAAAAAAAAGCAGCATGCACTGTTAACACCATTCTCCTTTAACACCTACTTTGCCCATCTAGCTTTTCATACTCCTCACTGACACAATGTCTGAACAAGCTCAATCTTCACAGGCCACCACCACCATTCCCCCCATCACCCCTACCATGCAAAATTGTCACATATGCTGCTGACATTGTTTTGGAGGAGCTTTCTGGGCTAGAATCCAATAGAAACAGGCAGTACTGGCAAAAGGCAATGAATGTGATCTGGGAACAACTGGTATGTGCTATGCCAAATAATTTATCCATCCAACTCACACCAATGTAGGGCCATGTTCACCCATTGGTGGAAGAACTCCCCTCCAAATCTACCATTCCCACCCATCTCATTGCTGCAGCAAAGTGGATGAAAGATCTGGCCATGCTCACAGAATTGAAACAATGGCCAGACTTTGACCAAATTAGGGATGCAGGGGACACCAATGTTGTCAATCACCCATGGTATCAGGTGGGGCAGCCAATGGACAAGGGAAAGGGTCAAGAGGTCCCATCAGAGCCCATTCAGCTAAGTAGGCCAATCAGTGAGCCCACTGACACCTCTGAAGAGCCCTGTGGCAGAACAAGAAGCTGCCTTCCTCCCCCCACTGCTTGCCCAAAGAGTCAGTGGCCCAGGAAGCATGCAAAGCCTGCCACTGAAAGTGATGCTGATGAAGGTGCAGCATCTGTTTCTTGAGCTATTTGTGGTTGCTCTGTGGCCCATCTTGCCACTCCCACTGCCAACTACCCTGTTGTTGCCAAAGAAGACTGATGTGCTAGATGCAAAGAGAAGAACTTCCCATGTGTGGTGGAACTGGGGTCAGCATGCTGGCAATGCAGCTGTATGAAGTATCAGTGCAGCATCTTTGCAGAAGTCATGGCCACATGCTCCCAGTCAAGGCACCCCCCTCCCAGTCATCCCACCACCATCCCAGAAGCACCTTCTGAACCTCATCAAACACCAGCACCATTCCATCCCCAAAGCTGACACCATCCTTCCAGCCCTATTGTGGGGCCATCCATTGCCAAAGCCAGAGAACCTGCTGCAGCCCCCCAGCAGACAAGGAAACAGTGGGCACCCACTTGAAGCATGACTCCTGCAACTCCCAAGACAACCCCTGCAGCAACCACAAGCTCTTGCTGGCAAAGTATGTCTTTTATATGTCCCATTCCGATATTCTTATAAGATCCTAACATAGTTTTTGATGGAGTGGTCATTGTGACCCCATCATGGTGGCAGTCAGGTCAGCAGACATCAAGTCCTGTGTCATGAGGGCCAGCAACATCTACCAGCCATCCTGCTACCCCTGCCCACCTGGCAACACCCAATGCCACCCCTTTTGATTGCATGGAAGAGGAAATGGTGGCATTGCAGCAGCAGCAGCTAGACATGGCCCAGGATCTTCTCAATACCTGCCACAAGTTGGCCAATACACAGCAGATCCTTGCCAATACCCAGACAGAGTTGGAGACACTCTGTGATGTTGTTGAGGCCATGTGCCAGTGCCTTCTCCCATTGCAACATGCAGGACTTGATCCCTCCAGTGTCACACACCAAAGGTGTTGTGGACATGGTTACAGCTGACTCTGCCTAACTTGTCAATGAGTTGTGCACCATGCCATGCAGATGAAGACTAAAGCCCTCATGCATAGAAAGACTGCTGGACATGAGCAGTCATCAGTGCTAAAGAGAAAAGAGGAAGCAACTCAAGTGCCCATCAAAGCGTTTTAGCACTCAAGTATGGCATTCTGGTTTTCATCATATCTCCACCATTTCCAAAGATATCAACTCCATTCTCACACTTGCTTAAAGTGCTCAGCCATGTGATTCTGCCTTCCAAGTTTGGAAAGGATCCTTGCACCCTATGCATTTCTACAGCACTCCATCCATCAGACACTCATTTTGCTAAGTCAATCAGATATGACTGCCTCTTTGTTGATCATCTCATTTGTCTCTTTTGCCAGAGATAGTGGCTATGTATATCTGCCAGGTGTTCCCACCAGCTTCCATCCTGAAGCCCCCTGGTTCATTCCATCATCATCAGCCCCATCCCATCCCATGCAGCTTGGTCAGCATGTTCTCCTTGTCAGTATGACTTCCAGAAGGATGTTCTTTGGTTGCCTCAGGTCTGTCACTCAGTTACAAAGGTCTTATGTGGTTGTTTTGGTCTCCCCACTTGATGAAGCATATGGATCCTTCCTCCCTGCTCCCTGCAATGTCTTTGTTCCAATCTCATCCATCACTCTCCCCACATTGCAACAGCTGCAGTATAATCTACTGTTCTCCATCCTCCCTGATCACATCCATGATGAGTATGACATGCATCTTGCCTTGTTATTGCAAGACCCAGCAGAAGACATCCCCCCTTCTCCCTCTCCTCCATCAGAGCCCTGTTCATGAAGCTTTTATTAACTTTGCTGAGAGGACAAATGGGTGGGAGACCCAATTGCCTATGCTCCCATTGCCCCACTCACCCCCAATGCCCTAGCCCTTTGACACCTGACTCATGCCATCCTTTCCTGGAATTAATACTTCCCTATCTGGAAACACTGTCCATCTGTCATCCCATCTTTGGATCTAGTGATGTCTCTGCTGAGATCTAACATGCATTGCCACCCCCTATGTGATACCAGTGTGCTTACTCATGTTTTGACTCATACTGTGATGTTTTGACTGTCCTTGACTCATTTGTTGTCAATACTTACCAATCCTCTTTGCTTGCTTACTTTTCATTTCTTGCTTACTCATCATGATTACTCATTGCTTACAGTCCTTATTCATTACTTACCAAGCATTTGTGCCTCATTTGTCATAAGCTGCACTCCCCCCACAGTATATAAACCCCCCTGTACTCAGTAATCAGTTCTGTTATGCCTGTGTCAGGGGTCTTTCCTTTTTTGACTTCTCATGGTCATGTGTGTCACATGCCTCATCATGTCCCTAATAACTGTTGTCATCTTGGGCATGTCTATGCTCAAAGGACAGCTCAGATCTCCAGTGGTCATGGTATTTCCAATACCCTTTAATGCTGCACACCTGTAGGTGATCCAGTGATCCACCCCCATCTCTGATGAATGGTCAATTTCATACTTTGCCTCTGACTCATATTTATTGCTCTGATCATTTGCTTCTTGCTCTGGTGTCAGGCCCCTTGCTGCACATTGATCGCACAGCTGGTATGGCCCTTTTTCCCTGTACTGCCCTTACCATATGACACCATATGACTCTTTCTTATTTCATTGTTTACTGCTGTGGATACTTACTGTCACCTTGGTGTGACTTGTACAGTACTCTTGTCCTGAGTTATTTATACAGCCATACCATACTTTGTATCAGTTTTTTGATAGCTTGCAACTCAGCTTCATCCCTCTGCTTTCATCCTTGTTCCCTTCCCCATTGTGATCTCAGAAGAACTCACCAGTGGAAGTGAACTTTGTCAGACCTTCGCAGTAACTGAGCCATAGGGGCTATGACAAGTTTGGCCCATAGACTCCCTCTTGCACCACTTGTGACTAGTCCATTTGACAAAGTCACTCAGCTCAGGCATAACAAGTTCAGTCCATCTCAGTCATAACTCATCATTGACAGTTGAGGCTCATTTGGAAGGGTCTTTCTACCACCATTCATCTGAGGTATCACCTGTGCTTAGTCAGCGCATTTGATTAGTCATTGCTCCACTCTTGCATAACTCAACATCAACTTGCACCAGAACTCCTTTCAGCTGAATACCTTTGCTCTATCCAGCACCCCCTATCAAGTCCATATTCATTCATCTACTCCTGTGTAACTCAATGTCAACTTGTGCCAGGAGCATGTCTCATTGAAGATCCTTACTCTAGCCAGCATCCCCCTCACAATCATTACTCTTTCATCTTCTCCTGCATAACTTGTCAATGACTTGCACTAGGAGCACCTGCCATTGAAACTCCCCCCCACATTAGATTTTTCTGCCCTCCAGGTTCCATGAAGGTAAACCACCACTCACTCTTATTTGTCTTTGGTGTTGGATTTGTTTGGCTTACACCAGCTTTCCACACTTTGACTCACACTGGCCCATCCTGCCCTGGCACCATTGGGATGTTGCTTAGTACTCATCCAGTGTGGGACACAACTTCTGGGAAGTGTGCAACTAGAGGAAAGCTGAAGGGAGAATTCCCTAGGATTGACCTGAGGGGTGCTGCATGGAAGGAGAAGTCAAGGATTACCCTAGAAGGGGTGGGGTAATACATGCAAGGGTTACAGAATTTAATCCTGGAGGGATGTGGGCATGCAAGGAACAGTGAGATGGGTATATGAAATTCCAAGAAGCCAATTTGCAATGAGAAGAGTGTATTCAAGGTGAGAGGGATACAGGGTAAGGAGTGCAGGATTGGGAGACACAAGAGACATGAAGACCACTGGAGACACTGTAGATGCTGTAGACTCAATATATGCACTTAGACTCTGAGAACTCTCAAACTTGTGGAACACACACAGATAGCAACTCTAAAGGTGGGTGGTTTATTTCCAACATTATGACAGAATTATATAGTACAAGGGAAGTAGGTATGAGTCAGAGTAAGGTGGGGCAGAAAAGCTAAAAATCTGGAAAATACAGGAAAGGATGACAGATGTCAGCAAATTACAGATGCACATGAAATAGTCTGGCAAGTAGTAGATGAGAGAAAAAACAGGTCAACAGTAAGGGGTATCTTCCAACAGAACTAGGGTATGTGTACAAGTGAGAGGGGGAAGCACAGGAGGGCAGAGTGCACTGGCATGAGGTCCAGCTTGTGGAATTTAGGGAAATAGAGATAACTGGAGTTTTTTAGAGGCAACTGGCATGAATGAGTGGTGACATGGTTGGGCAGTGGTGCAGCTACTGAATTCCAGATGACTCTGGGTGAATGCAGAATTTCTGGATCAGCTTTATTGATAACTGGGCAACATGCTGAAGGTTGGGAGAAATTCTGAAGGCAACAGGGGTTGGGAGGAAACACAAGGTCACAAGTGGGAAAAATCCCAAAATGGGTTTGTCACAGAGGCTTGCAGAATTTAGTGACAGATTTGTGTTCCAGCCTCAGGGAGTATACAACTCCCTACACTGGCAGTCATTCCTGATAATGGTGCCAGAATGCTTGACCTTGCACCTACCACAATGGTTCAGGAGGTTGCCATCAATCCTGATATCCTCCACAATCTCCCAGGTGAGTTGCTTTCTCTGGCTGTTAACAGCCTTATTGCAGGACCATCTGTTGGTGTCAGGGTGACTGGCCAGATGCCAATATATTTGTCTTTGGGGACAGCTGCCAATGATGCAAATGAGGATGATACTGATGATGAAGGTGTTGCTACATGGATGGATGTTGATTAACATTTCCTTTTTGTCTATTATACCATACCCCTGTTTGGCTATCCCTGTACCTTTGAATGAGCATTCCTGCCTTTCCTTTAAATAATGCCAGTCAATGTGAATCCAGTCCCCCAGAATGCCTGCACATGGGTATAGTCTAGTGACCTGAACAGATGCAAATCCACCCATATAATCCTGCCTGTATTGCTGACCCAGTGCAATCCAGACATATCCTTGCAGTATGGTGATACTAGTACATTTGTGGCACAGACAGTGACAACATGAGAATCCCATAGCATCAAATACCATTGTGTAACCCAATGCAAAGCCTGGCAAGATATGTTACCAAGGCATTATTGACAATGGTGAGCTTTATTCCATGCTTGAGAATGCTCTGGCATACTACCTCTAGACTGCCACATTCTGCCACACCTTCTGGAAGACCCTAGACTTGCACTGCTAAAATGAGGTGCTGCAGCATGAAGCACCTTCAAACACCCCTGTATACAGCAGTA